ACAATATTATAAATCATATGGGCGCGAACACGTTTTCGTCCTGAACATATTCTCCCGCCGCAGCTTTTAGCTGGAACGTCCTAGGGTTCGCGCTTCGTTGTCTCGTTGCCTCCCGTTGCAATGATTACCAGCTTCTTTGTAGGACGGCGCAGAATTCCTCTGTTTGTCCGCACGTCGACCGCCCTTATTTCTCCGTCGGGGCCTGGGTATGTAGCCGCAATGATGCCGCGGGGCCAGATGCTGCGTGGTAGCGTTCCGTCGGCTATGAACACCAAGTCTCCCAGTTGTAGCGCGCCGTTGGTGGCTCTCGGAGTTCGTCTGTGCTGGAGATCAGGGAGGTATTCTTTTATCCAGCGTCACCAGAACATGTCGGCCAGTCGTTGGCTGGTCCGCCAGATCTTGCGCCCGTCGATGTCAGTGTCCGTGAAGGCTCCAGGCAGTGGTACTCGTGAGGGACCCCTCAGTAGGAAGTGATTCGGAGTCAGGGGGTTCTCGTCTTCTGGAGCAGTGGATACATGGGTGAGAGGGCGGCTGTTGAGGGTGTGCTCTGTCTCGACCAATAGAGTGTGCAGGACCTCTTCTTTCGGGGCGCGTTCGTGCAGTACGGTGTACAGAGCTGTTTTGATGCTCCGTACCAGACGCTCCCATGCTCCTCCCATGAACGGTGCGCTCGGTGGTATGTATCTCCACTTGATGAACCGGATACTGGCGTCTTCCTGTATAGCTTCTAGTGCTGCCCTCTGTAGCTCGGCGTCCGCGCCGCGGAGATTGGTTCCCTGGTCAGACCACAGCTCCGTCGGGCATCCGCGTCGCGATATGAAGCGACGGAGTGCCATGATGGCGGAGTCGGTGCTCAGATCTCCGGCCACTTCGACGTGGACCGCTCTCGTGGTTAGGCAGGTGAAGATCGCTCCGTATCTTTTTTGTCGTGTGCGGCCTACTGTGACTTGAAGTGGGCCGAAGAAATCTAGCCCGGTGTATGTGAACGGGCGTTGATGGTGAGCGAGGCGGCTGGGCGGATGGTTTCCAGTCGAGGGTTGTGGAGGCGTGGCTCTCATGATGCGGCACACTCGGCAACGTTTCAGTTCGCTTCGCACAGCGTTGCGTAGTCGTAGGAGCCAGTAATGCTGTCGTACCTCGCTGGTGGTGATGCCGAAGCCTCCGTGGTGCGTCTGTTTGTGTATCCAGGCGATATACAGTCGCACCCACGGGTGGTCTCCATCAAGCACGGCTGGTGACCGTTGTTGCTCAGTGATATCACCCGCGGCCGCTATACGCGATCGTAGTCGTATTATGCCTTCGTCGTCGAGTAGCGTTGATAATTTCATAAGGCGGCTAGAGGGGGGAAAGGGGGTCCCCCTCATGAGGGGGTTGATTTCCTCGGTGAACGCCTCTTCCTGTTGCGTTCGTATCCACAGCGACTCGGCGTGGCGTAGATATGATGCGTCGATCGTTTTAAATTTGTGTAAAACTTGCTTTTCACGCGCAGCCTCGGAAGTAATCGTCTTCTTGCTTTCTGTATCATTTTTTCGCCAAGTAGGGTCGGCGTCGGCATTTTTCCTCGTTCTCTTCCTTAAAGCGGCACATCGTTGTGTGCGCGTCCGCAGCCTGTCTATGAACTGTAGTACGCGCGCTGTGGTCCGCATGAGGCGTATCCAACTTGAGAAACGAGTTACTTCTGGTAGAGCTTCCTTCAGTCGCGCGCCGACGCTTGTGGTGAGGTGGACCCGTTCTTCATCCGTGACGTTGACGTCCGTGACTTCCTCTTGAGGCCAATTTTCTTCCGACATATATAGAAAGTCCGGCCCCCTGTACCATCGATGATTAGAGTCGAAGTCGTGTGGCACGTCGCGGGTGGCGTCGTCTGCGACGTTCATTTTGGTGGGTATCCATCTCCATTCTTTCGTTTTAGTGTGTTCAGCGATCTCCGCCACTCTATGCGCTACGAACGGTTTATAAACTCGCGGTCCGTTGCGTATCCAGGTCAGTACCGTGCGGGAATCTGTCCAGTAGTAGCGGCTTGTCGGTTTAAATTGATGCTCGTCGACGACGGTCTGTGTAAGACGGCAACCCAGCACGGCAGCTTGCAGCTCTAGTCGTGGTATGGAGATCACCTTCAACGGAGCTACTTTCCCCTTGCCGATGACGAGTGAGACGTGTATGTTGCCATCTTCGTCTTCTACACGCCAATAGGTGACGGCCGCGTATGCCGTTGAACTTGCGTCCATGAATGTGTGTAACTGGATCCCGCGCGCGTGACTAAGTTTCATATAGCAGCGCGGTACTTTTATCTTGGCGAGTCGTCGTACATCTTCCAGCCATCTGCTCCAGGCGTCCGCCTCGGGCGCTTCTAACGGGGTGTCCCAATCGATGCCTGAGCGCCACGAGTCTTGTATGATGCGCTTCGCTTGTATGGTGACTGGAGTGGCGATGCCCAATGGATCAAATATGGACATCGTAGTGCGCAGCGCCTCCCTTTTAGTTGGTGTTCTTGCCCCGTTGTATACTTCCGCCGGTGTTTTGTGAGTGTTGATGTTGAAAGACAGGGTGTCTTCCTCTGGTTGCCACACCATGCCCAGTATTTTCGTGCTGTCCAGTTGTAGTATGTCGCCTTTCGACCCCGGTGATAACGTGCTTAGTACTCGGCGCGAGTTAGATGCCCAACGTTGCAGGAAGTAGTTCGCGCGGCTGTGTATGTACGCAACTTGTGTGGATATGCGTACGGCCGCTCCTTCGTCGTCAAAACTCGCTAGGTAGTCGTCAACGTAATGGTTGTCGATGATTGCCGCTGTCGCCTCGGGGTAGTGAGAACGAATCGCGTTCTTGTCCTTTACGTAGATAGCAGTACAGGGAGATGATGTGGCGCCGAATATGACACTCTTCATACGGTACTCAGTCGGTTGGCGATCTCGGTCGTCTCCTCTCCACAGGAAGCGCTGCATGTCTCTATCTTCTTCTCGTATAGTCACTCGAAGAAACATGTCTCTGATGTCGGCTGCTACCGCTACTGGTCGATGACGGAACTTCATCAGCACGCCGGGCAGGGATTGTATTAAGTCCGGGCCTGGTAGTAGCATGTCGTTCAGGCTGACTCCTTTGGCTTTGGCAGCGGCGTCGTGGACCAATCTGAGCTTCTCTGGCTTCTGTGGATTGATGACGGCGAAATGGGGTAAATACCAAGTCTTCGGGTTCTTATGGGGTGGCGCTATTTCTGCGTAGTCGTTGTCGAACAGTGTTTGTAACTGTTTTTCGTATCTCTTTTTCAGTTCCTCGTCGCGGTCGAGTTTCTTTTCAACTAGTTCCAATCTTCTTAACGCCACGTCGTAGCTGTCAGGTAGACGAACGTGCTCGTTACGCCATAGAAGACCGGTTTCAAAGCCTCCCGCCGGTAAACGGCGGGTTTTATCTTCTAGTTGTTGCAGTGCTCGTCGCTCGTCGTCGTTGTGGCTGCGTCTCGGTATGACAGCCAATGACTCGAGGCTGAAGTGTTCCCTCATCATCTGCTCCATGGACTCTTCATCATCAGGGGCGACAGCGTGGAGTACTTTGTGGGTGTTGACTCTTTCATTCGATCTCTTAGTGCCGTGTAGAACCCAACCTAAATCGGTGAGTGTTGCGATCGGTTGGTGTCGGTCCCCTCGTCGCACGGCATGTGTGAGTAAAAGATGCCAGTTGTCTTGACCCAGCAGTATCGTAGGTGATCCCTCTTCGTAGATGAGATGCTCTTCTAAGTCGTGCAGGTGGGGGCAAGCTCGTATGACGCTACGTGGCACTGCTTGCGGCGATAGCTTCAAGTTGTTCATGGTGCGGGCCGTTATTGTATGCTCATTCGTGTCGCGCCCGCGCAGAGAAATGCGTACTTGTTGCGATTTGCAGGCGTTGATTCGTGTGCCGGCTACACCCTCAATGTAAAAGGGTGCTGGTGTACCCGCTGCGCCGATCCTTCTTGCTATCGCCGCCTCAATCAGGCTGCACGTTGACCCGTCGTCCAGTAGTGCGAGTGTGTTGCACGTACCCTTGGGGCCCCTCACTTGCACAGGGAGTACCTTCAGTAGCGCGGTGGTGTTGCTTCTGTCTTTTGCTGATGCCACAACAAATGATGCAGGAGCTTCTTTTTTCTCCTTTGATGAGGGTGGAGTGCCATGCAGCAGTGAGTGATGCATGTACTCGCAACCGTCGATGCCGCACCTCTTGTTTTTACACGTATGGCGAAATTTGCGTGTCCGTAAACAGCGGAAACATAGCCTGTGTTTGCGTGCTATGTCCCACCTGGCGGCTACATCTGCTGTCTTCATTTCGTCGCATTGCGCCGCATGATGACCCGTCTTGTCGCAAATAGGACACGTAGTAACTTGTTCGTGCGCGGCTGGCTTCGCTATTTGAGCGTGGTAGCTCTTCATGGGTCTCCTGCCTGCTGGCTCCCGCCGGTCTTCCACAGGTGTGTTCTCGACGGGCGCGTAGCTCCCACAACGTGCAGCTGTGCGTTGCATGAACTCGGTCAGGGTTACTAGGTCAGGTTGGTATTCTGGCTGTTCCGCAGCAAAGTCATAGTATCGATAGCGCAATGCTGAAGGCAGCTTCTCAACCACGGCGCGCACTATCTCGGCGTTGTGTAGATAATGCGGTCTGTTTAGCGCCTTCAATGTGGCCGTGACGTTGATAATCTTCGATGCGAAGTTGCAGATGTCTCTCGGATGTTCGCCCAGACGTGGAAGGGTGCGTAGCTTACTCAGTTCGGCCAGTGCGAGCGCGTCCGAACGACCGAACCTTGATGTCAGTAAGCTCATTACTTCGTTGGAGGACGTGGCTCCGACGAATAAACATTGAGCTGCTTCCCTAGCGGTGCCTTTCAAGCTCCTCCGGAGCCTCGCCAGGTTCTCTTGTTCTGTGAGCAGTCCTGCAGATTCTTCATAGGCTGTCTTGAACGGCAGCCAGTCGAACCGTTGAATATGGGTAATTCTTGAAGTCTTGCAGTAGTGGGTTGAATCGCTCGTGCCGCAGTAGTGATCGCCGTTGCTAACTTTTCATAACATATGTCGCTCGGCGGCTAATGTTCCAGGTGGCCGTCGTTGTTACGATAGTATTGCGGCTGTTGTCTCTCACTTGTGTGCGTGACGTATGTAGAGGGGGGCGCTCCCCCCGCGTAGTTGGTGGGGGGGCACCCGGTCCCAGCTGTCGCAGGTGCTGCGTACGTGGAGATTTTTTCCTGTCGAATGACGTCGCGCGTCGGCGGCGGCGCCTGTGATTCGGTAGGTCTTCCTTTCAATATATCTTCCTTCGTACGTGTGGCGGCAGTGTAGTCTTCCTGCTCTTCTCTTCTCAACCCAATAGTGCTTGTGCGAATCCACTCCGATGTGCGTTCCTCGCGGATCGTGGCTTCCGCGGGTTCGTCTTCGTCCGATTCCTCTTGCATTGACGCGATCTTTGCAGACATTAAATCGATTTTCAGCTTCAATAATTCTTGTTGCGCTTCCGCTAGCTGCCTACGACGACTGTTCGAAGAACCGGATCGAAAAGATCGAACAGATTTAGGAGAGTATATTCTCCGTGGTGCTTCACTTGTAGTGGCGCCGGCTTCGGGTCTCTCTACTAGTTGGGAGACTGGCGAGGTGGCAGTCGGCGCGGCGTCGATTTGTCTGATCGTTGCGTCGGTTTCCACAGTTGCACCGGTTGTACGTGTGGCGTACGTGGAGCGCGTGTGTTCTGAAGTCGTAGCGGTCTTTTCGGTCCCCGTGATCGTGTCGGTGCCCGTCGAACAGGTTGGAGCAGTGGACGAGGATTCTTGGGTATTCACGGGGTATGATTTTGCGCTTCTGGTAACTGGCATTGTTCTTTCTTGATGTAATCCGGCTGCTGAAGGACCAGAAAATGTGGGGGCGGATTAAGTGAAAAACGCCTGGTTGTAAATTGAGCTTCTTGATGTTGGTTTTGCTTGGATCGCGGTGAGGTTTGGAACGCCTTCGGATTCTTATGCAGTCAGTTTTGGAATGTCGTTCCGCTCCCAACGCTCCGTCTTTTATATCATCGCTGGCCCGCCGCACCGCTCGCATTCTTTTCAAGTGTGCGAGCGGGACGGCACCAATGCAGGAGCGGGACGGGAGAACCCTACAGACTCCAAGCAAAACCTCTCTCTCCCTCTCGTTTATTTACCAAAATCTTAAACGAAATTAACAATAATAAATTACAATAATAAATTACAATATTATAAATCATATGGGCGCGAACACGTTTTCGTCCTGAACAGCCTGGTTGCAAGGAGACGTGTCAAGATGGGAGAGATACGTAGCTAACAGGGTCAATAAGATCAAACAAATCATTCCGGCTGCCAACTGGCAGTACGTAAAGTCTGAACAGAACCCTGCGGACTGCGCCTCCCGAGGGATGTATCCTACCAAATTACTTACCTTCGAGCTGTGGTGGAAAGGACCTGATTTCCTTCAAACTACACAAAAAGAGAAGGCTCAGAAAAATACTACGTGTCTCCTCACTACTAACACGGGGCTAAAAAATAAAGCGGCGACAACCCTACCGACAAATAACAATACACATTTTATAAATGAACTTGTAAATAAATGCAGTTCATTGACACGCGTACAACGAGTCACCGCATGGATACAGCGCTTCGGTGCAATTGTCCGCAACAAAACGAAACCCGAAACCAAATTCCTTACTACAGGCGAAATGACCGCTGCAAATGAACAAATAATAAAATGTGCAACGCATTGAGTTTGAGCAAGAATACAAATTACTTGTAAAATACGAAACTGTGCCGATCAAGAGCCCTATTTACAAACTAAACCCGTATCTGGATAATAAAGGGATTATTCGTGTCGGTGGGCGCCTAAACAACTCCAGTTTGCCAGATGAAATGAAAAATCCTATCATTTTATCAAGGAATGGGCGACTAACTCAACTACTTATCGAGAAGGCCCACTGTACTACACTTCACGGTGGCGCTCGACTAACTTTAGGCTACATAAGACAACGTTACTGGATCGTCGGTGGCAACAGAGCGGTCAAAGCGAGACTACGTCATTGCATCCGGTGCCACCGATACAAGCCGACTGAAACTTACCAACTCATGGGCGACCTGCCGCAGCAAAGAACTACTCCATCTCGACCTTTCACACATACTGGTGTTGACTTCACTGGCCATGTGGAGGTCAAGCTGAACAAAGGAAGAGGTGTTAAGACATCAAAGGCATACATCGCCATCTTCGTATATATGGCAACTAAGGCTGTACATATCGAGCTCGTGTCCGACCTCAGCACTGAAACCTTCATCGCTGCCTTTCAACGTCTGTGCGCGCGGCGGGGCACGCCAAAGCACGTTTACTCAGACTGCGGCACTAACTTCATTGGCGCCGCCAAGTTACTTCGGAAAGAATTTGAACAATTCAAACAAATTCTTTCACCAGAGTTCTTCACAGAGATTGGGAAACTTGAAGATGAATGGCACTTCAACGCTCCTGCGTGGCCGAACGCAGGTGGACTCTGGGAGGCTGCTGTAAAATCTCTGAAATACCATCTAAAACGCGTGCTAGGTGATCAAAAACTGACATATGAAGAGTTCTCAACGCTGCTTACGAAAATCGAAGCCTGCATGAACTCGCGGCCGCTATGTGCACTAACTGAGGACCCGGAAGAATTTTACAATTACTTAACACCCGGACACTTCCTCACTGGCGGCCCCGTGATGACATTACCCCTCTCTGATTACACTGACGTCAGACACGTCGACTTGCGGCGACGATGGCAGCTAACTGAAAATATGCTTCATCAATTTTGGAAAAGCTGGTCCAACGAGTATCTAACTCAGCTTCAGAGTCGCAGCAAGTGGAACAAAGCTACAAAAAACATCAAAGAAGACGACATTGTGCTAGTAAAGGAGAATAACTTACCTCCCGGAAAATGGGCCATGGGGCGTGTCATAGAGCTTCATCCCGGTTCCGATGGCCTTGTGCGAGTCACCACTATCAAGACTCAAACCGGGGTGATGAAACGCCCCATCGTGAAACTATCACCACTCCCGCTGGAAACTGACACTTCACATGAGATGAAACCTACGTCATCCAGCGAACCACATCTTACCACATCGTCAACTGCACAACAACGTACGATCAGAAAGAAAGCTGCAAATAATTTTTTCACAACATTGTTAACAATATCAATTACAATGTTTACACTGATAACGGGAGCACGTGGCATGAATGACGGCGGCGGCGTAACATCGAGCGCTCATATTACATACTTAGAATCGAACAGACCGATTTATTATGATTCACTCGGGCAAATGCAAATAATACACGACGAGTGGACATTACTTATGTATTATAATTTAACTAACTACTGGATGAGCGTACAGCGAATTGAAGACTATTTACACCATTTGACAGATACGTGCGATCAGATAGATCCTAGATACTGTGAGACGACTCTTCATCAATTATATCATGAGATGCAGCTACTTCATCATTACAACACGATCTTACTAGCACCACACAAACATTTAGCCGAGCGTAAAAGGAGAGGATTGGTCATCGGCATCGGATACGTTGCGAACAGTCTGTTCGGTATACTTGACCAGCACTTTGCGGATAAATACCAACAAGATATAGAGGCGATTAAGGAAAACGAGAACTACTTACTAGAGTTAACTAAGAACCAAACATCAATAGTGGAACTAGAGAACAAGGTGCTAAAGAAAACCGAAACTAATATTCAACGACAACTTAACTCAATCGACGGCTTCATGAACGAAACTAACTCGAACCTAGCTAAAGTCGAGTCAGCTATGGAGGCCATGATGGCCACCAGTTACTTCAACTCGGCGTCTCTTGCAACCTACTTATTGCTTAAAGACCTAAAAGCAATGCAAGAAATGTTGTTCGACACATTAACTAATGTATACAAAGGGCATATGGATGTGCATTTGTTGAGTCCTGTGGACTTGATGGAACAGCTGAACGCCATATCTGGAAAGCTTCCGAAAAGATTAACATTGCCCGTAAACAATGTTAAAGAAGACGTCAAGAACATTTACAAGCTTGTCTATATCAAGGCTCGCGTTACTTCTAACTACTTTCTATTCGAGGTCCATATACCACTTACTTCGGATGAAAATTTTTCTCTCTACAAGGCTACTCCACTGCCTGTGAAAACTAACGCAGGAACCGGCATCATACAGATACAGTCGCAGTACATCGCTGTCAACTTTCAGAAAAATATTTACATCTCTCCATATGAAAATGAGCTGAAGCTATGCACTATGCTCAAACAACGTAACTACATCTGCAACAAAAACATGCCCGTATTTAACTTGCAGAGTAAGAATGCCCCATGCGAGGCAAAACTACTCAGTCACACCACAAGCACACCCTGTGACGTCAAGAAAACGTCATGCAGTGACGCGTGGATCGAGTTACACACTCCAAACACTTGGCTGGCGGTTTGTTGCGGAACGTGCACCTTGCGCACCATATGTGATAACGACGTCACCTCGTATACAATGACATCATCAGCCATCGTAACGTTGATGCAAGGGTGCATGTTGCAGTCCTCCGACTTCACCATCTATTCACACAACGAGTACAACTCAAACTTGAAGATACAGTTAAACATCCCATTGTTGAACTCTACAGTGAACAACATCGTGAACTTAACTCATCACAATGTTCCATGGCACGTTTTACACAACACGTACGAGAGAGAGATGCAAGATATCGACAAACGACTGCTTTCACAAAAGGAACGTGAAGTCCTCCCGACGACGATTTCATCCCATGACGTACATCAGTACGTGATCTGCTACATTCTTCTGGGAACTGCAATTTTCATAGCTACATTTTGGATTGTCAGAAAGTGCCATCCACTCAATTGCGCTAAGAACAGAAACGAGCAATCCGAAGCTCACCACGAGGACATAGAGCTGCAGTACACCAAACCGGAGCGAGCGGCACAGAGCGCGCCCGCGCCACCGCCGCCGCGCCCGCGGGCCGTGCACCCTCGCTCGCACCCTATTACTACAACCAAAGCTGAAGACAACTTTGCATTTAACTTCGATGACTAATTCCTTGCTTTGTACTGGCATATCTTTACCTTAATAGTATCTTTTTATTTATTTTCATTTTCTTTTCTTTTGGGTTGCCAACATGTATGGTCTCACCATACATACTTAAGTACAAATCTGCGCACGCGGCAACCTACTTAGGCCGCGAGCAGCCTTTTGTTTTATATAACTAATTAATCTTTAATATTAACTCAGTACGTCACCAACTGTCCACAGAGACACTACTTAAGGAAAGATTTGCCACCTAACACTTGTAACTTATTACGAAAATATACTTTGAACTTTCAAGCAATCTTTCTCTTCGTGCTACTCTACTACTACAACTAACTCACAACTACAGTGCATGTATGGACTATACCTGGCCCATACATATACAAAACAACATGGAAACTTTGAAGAGACAAGAGATAATCGCACAGTCGATTGAGAAGATTCTAGTGAATTTCAAGAAAGACTCAGCAAGTCGCAAGACTGAAGACTACATTAAAAAACGGCTGGATGCTCTGCATGAACTGTGGGAGGAATTTGAGAGCAACCACAAACAGCTGGTGGAGTCCGAGCTCAGCGATGTTATGACGAGTGAGTACATTGTCAACAAAGCCTTTGACAAGGTAAAACTAATATATGATACCATTTTTGACCTGCTACGAAACCACAGAACGAGGTCTGAGGAAAGAGGAGTGCCATCGAAAACGGACGAGCTACTTGGTCAACAACAAACTAACTTTCGTGCCTTAACCAGACTGATAAAACAATTA